CAACACAGAAGGTGTCATTCTGTTTCTTTTGTGATGCACATTTGTGGTGCCAAGTTTGAAGAACACTGCTCCAATATCTCTAGAGATATTCTTGATTCATTGTTTTACTGTTCAAATAGACCCACCTATGCTGTCATCACTTTCCTCATTTGCATCATACAAAAACGTAAATATCTCTAGAACGAAAAAAGATATTCAAAAAAGCGAAACGCCATTCTTCTTTACTCTGAAAAGCCTTTCAAATAATCAGCAATTATTTTTTACTTCATAGGCACTTTAATGTGTGTACGATTAAATTTAACTGAAAACAAAAAAGCTTGAGCAATTAATCTACCCTCATTTGAGTCTAGTTACACTACAGTTGTTCATGAAGCTGTCACGTTTTACATCTGTCAATAAGTGCTACAAAGCTTACCTGTTTGAAACCATGGCGACGGAATGACAAACCTTAAAAAATGATCCTATTTCTTAACCTCACGAGCTTTGTTGCTACGACTTGATTTGTTCCGTCCATTGTCACAAAGAAACTTAGCCTTACGATTATTAGAAAAAAATGTAAGCTTGGGCAGACAATTTTGAAACTAAAAAGCAACATCGAGATAATAGTGTTCATGCTATGCCATAGCATTTCAGTTTTCCCAGTGTGTGGTAACCTTGCTCATTTCTTGTTGCATCCCCAAACCTGAGCTGTTTAACTGGCAGATGTGTCTTGTCAGTCAGGAGACCGCTGTCTTCACGCCATACTCGGTCATTCTTATCACAGTTACAACCATAACTTGGGTTTGCACATGAGTTGGTCATCCCGCATGCGCACTTACCACTGCCAGGCGATGCTCCACCCCAGTACGTCATCTTACTTGAATCGCGTGACACCCACCAGGCAAATCCCCACTGCAGCATCCTTGAATGATAACACTCGTACTTGATAAACTGCTCACAGTGTGAGGAGACTCTGGTGAGACTCGCCAGCTGAGAGAGACTCACTCCTGTGTAATGAATGTCACGTGAGTAACTACCACGACTGCTATAACCATGCACGTGCGTTCTGCTTTCACTGTCGTGACTGATGACTGTCACGCCAACTCCATTTTTGTCACTCATGTCGCAGTAAACGGTAAATGGTGCCAGGCCTCCCGCGCCATCTGAATCAATGGCGTAATTTCCACTTGCACTGCTGAAGTATTTCCTGATCACAGAACAAGAACCCTTATTCGTGGGACCGCATTTAAAGCCATCTCCAATAAAACCATGGTTACACTTGCATGAATATGATCCTCGTTCATTTGTACAACTAGCATGCTGATGACAGTCATTTGCAGTTCTATCGCATTCATTTAGATCTGTTGAACAGACAACATAACCATAGTAACTTTGAGTGCTGATCACCACACTTTTCTTTTGTTATTATTTCTTAAAATTTGATTTTACATCAAAGCAATGTCTCCTTGTCAAAGCCCTATGATGTATTAAGATGCAATGGCTTGTGTGTTGTCTTCTACGAGAACAACGCGCACAAGCTCTCGCTCATGGAAAACAAGGGTGATTAAGCAGTCTAATTGTTTTAGTAGACGCACTAAAATATTACATTTAATATTAATTTATTTTTTTTTGCTGTTTTGTTTTGTTTTGTTTTTTGATTCAATTTTAATATTTCAATATTTTCTTAATTTTACTAAATCTTAGGTGAATACATTTTACTTTACATTTTAGCCTCCCCAATTAGTGGAGCACTTGTGCTCAGCTATTAAGACTGAGACTTAAATAAAGTTGTCATTCATTCATTCAAGCACAAATGCGCGCCATTTTCTTCTCTCAAAACTATCCGCAAATGGATAGTAATACGAGAACCAATCAGGCCAAGGATTTCCAGTAGAACACACTAAGTCACTAAATTTTTAATTTAGAATTGTCTCTGCGTATTCACTGTTTCACCTATTTTCTTTTTTTTTTTTCTTTCTATGTGTAAATTTTAAATGTGATGTTCAAACTCTGTTGTTGCTGCTGTTGTTGTTTATTTGTTTGTTTGTTTGTTGTTGTTGTTGTTGTTGTTGTTAAATACATGTACAATTTTGATAAATTTTCAAATTCTTCCTGGGCATTCCAAATCTCCGTAAAGTCATGATCAACGTATGTCCCGTTCTAAGGTTTGCTGTTATTTTTAACCCATCTTCCTCCAAAGCACAAACGATAACAGCGTGAAAAAAAAAAAAAACATTTGCGTGATTCGTATTATTTCAAAATCTGCTATTTACTGCTGTTTACGACTTCTAATTTGCCTTAATACGCAATGATTCATACTTTACCTTTCTTGCAAGTGTAGGGATGACAGTCGCTACACTGCACGTCATTCCATTCATAGCTGTATTCCACACCAAGTGCGTGCACACAATCTTCTCCTCTTGCGGCCCGCAAAGCGCGTGTTTTCAAGAGGGCGGTTTTCAATTTGGCCGCGTATATTGATAATAATTAACAATAATCTGCTTCCGTGGAATTCTAACTGAAATTTACTTCAAATAACGATTTACAATTATTTCTCGACGTATTTAAAAACTTCCCTCCTTAGAAAGATCGCTTGGATTGAATTGTCATTTAAAATTCAGGTTTTGTGTGCACATCATTTTTTTTCAATTATTTCAAGTTTTTTAAAGTCAAGAAACCGTAAATGATCTTCTTGTAGTGTTCTCAGGAATTTAATTATCCATCTGCATCAAACTGCTTCTCCAAAACTTTGGAAAAACTAGAAAACGTCGCCATGACATAAACGACCTCCAACCACTGCACACTAATAGCTGATAGTGTGCAGTAGCTCAGCCAATCAGATTGCAGCCGTTTGCATTGGTGTTCAAGTACAATTCTACTTATATGTGATAGACTCTGATTAAAACACTAAACAACAACAACAAAAACAAAAAAAACAAACAAACAAACAAACAAAAAAAAGAAACACCAAACAACACATATGTAACAATAAATTTCTACATGAAGGGAAGAATTTTTCAAAAGCGTATATTTCTTAATCGGTTGAAAGTAGCAATGCATTGTGTTTTACCTCAATCCATGCTGTGATCCCGTTATGAACTGGTGCCAAGTTTCCACTTGCTGTTGTGCTGTGATTGGCTGATATCAGGACTGATGGTGTAACGTTATAACCTCGTGCAAACTGCACAAACTATAACATGAAAAAATAATTGGATCTTTTATTATACGTACTGTTTCTACACGTTATCTCCGCATTTTATTCTTACCTGTATGGGTATTTTACACCGCAAATGCGCGCCATATTAGCGGCAAGTCATATTGTTAGTGCACATATGGAAACGTAGGGAACTACTTAAATGTTTAATTTATTTTCATCTAAAATTACATCTAGAAACAAAATTCAGCTTTCTCTATTTTTCCTATTGGTTCTTGATTTTCCACGCAGTTGTATACTTACCTCGCAGTAAGCGTTGTTGTTCTCATCTGTTGGTGGGTTTGTATTTGGAAACTTGACTGAGCCATGCTCAGTGAAGAGCGGTTTGTGAAGTTTAGAAAACGCCAACCAGTTCTGTAATATAACGTCAGTGAATTAGTATAGGAATTAAAACAAAATCTTCTAGACGTAACGGAGCAAAATGATTCTACGACAGCCTTAAGAAGAGCTGTGTCCAACACCAAAAAAAGGAATAGATTATTTCTAAAAACCGGTCCCCATCAAATCTTATCACCCAGATTACTAGAGTTGAGACACGTTGCGTTGAAGAGATTCATTGAAACCGTTCCGAAATAATTTTGGACGCGGGAGAGAGGCCTGGGTCTGGGTTGTTGTTGTTTTTTTAAGGATAGTGTACTAGCATTTTCCAAGTGGTTAAAGGTGTACAAACGGCTAATATTGACTGAAACATTTGTTGTGTTATTTTGTTATGAAGTACATACCACACTAATATCTTCATGTTTTCCATCAAAGTTTTGCAATTCTCTGAGGCAGACTTTAAATGAATCCTTGGTTACATCCTCTGTCCAGATCAGCGCGGCATCATACTCCTTACCAGTCCTTAGATGTTCTGTTGTTATGAGTACTACAGGCTCGTCCTTAAACTTGTTCTGAAAAAGTGCGAGGAGGAAATGTGCAATCAAACTGAAGAACGTAACATCACTTTTAACAGTATTCCTGGCAGAAAATGCGCTTCAAACAATCGACCCAGTCACCATGAGACGTACATGTCAAGTTGAACCAAGACCATGGCGAGGACTTTCACTGAAAGGCTTTTCACATTTTAAGGCGTGATTGCCATAGTTTGAGTGTGGACCAAGGAAAATTGCTATTACCTTTCTTTCCTACAACCAACGACAAAAAATGATTTACCAGGAAATTCTGGATACGACGCGCGAATAATGACTAGTTTTTAGTTTAAGTGGGATTTCTCGTTGGACTCACAAAGTCTGAAAAATCTCCTGTATAGTATGGTATACATTTGTTTGAAAAGTCACGACAACTTAACTTCCCTAGAAGATGAAACCTTTGTCGAAAAGTTGCTAACTTGTTTGACTTATAATTGCACAAGAATTCCACCAGTCATCAATTAAAATCTCTCATGGAAAGAGAGAGAAGACAGTTAATCCTACCTTGGGAAAAGTTACATCTTCACAATTTGTTCCAGACCACCATTTCTGCATCTTGATTTCTCCCGTCATTCCTTCGGGCGGTGCTCCCTGATATGCCATCCAATCAACAGTCGCGAATGGATTAAAGTTCTTACTCTTTCTCCCAGATTGCATTGCGCAAACTGTAAAATTCCTTGTATTGATGTTTTCAGTCCAGGAAGTTATGGCGTCGTGCACAGTTTTAGAATCGTTCAGATTCATGTGATTGACGGTTATCTGCACATGGACCTGTTTATCTGGATAAAAGCGGTATGGCGGGAAAGCGACCGTCTGACAGCTTGAATCGGACCACTTTGGAACACGAAGAAGTTCTACTCGACCATGCACAATTGGGAAACCTGTAAATGAATCCAAAAATTAGTTTTTCTAATCATTTGCATTGACTGTCAGATCTTATTTTAAGTAACTAACCCATAGAAATAATGCAAACAACCTCAAAGACAACTAGAATCTTTCACTTGATATCTTAAGATTTTCATTTGGAAAGACTGCCATTTATGTGAATCAGCGAACATGAAAGAATATGTCTGTGAATAAATGCTACATTGTGTCTTCTTAGGTTATACATATTACTTGTAAAATTTATCTCTCTGGTTTGAGATATATCTGTTAAGAGTCCCGTTCAAAATGAGTTTCCCTTTTAGACTATTAGTTCCAAACTACGGAAACCGGAGCCACGTGCGCTAGTCCCGATAAGTCATCCGCCTTTTGCGATACCAGATTAGAACAGCCACATACATTGTTCACTGAAGTTAACACAAAAACCCTTCCTTACCCTCACAGCTCCCTGGGTGATACACAAGATTATTCTCCAGTCCTCTACAGTAGTACAGCTCATGCCAGCATTTGTTGTCGTATGTTGTTCCATTCGCGGTGCACACTGGGTCATGATAGGAAGGGCAGTCTTCGTAACACACACAGCGAGCTTCGTGAGCGCTGAAAGTCTTACACACTCCAAATGATGGACAATGCACATCAAGGCATGGGTTCAGGTCTGCAAAGCAAAAAAATATTTGAAGTTAGTTTGTGTATAATAGGACGATATCACGTGGAACACTAACCGCTTTTTTCTGACTAACCGTTTTGCCTTTGCGTCAACCCTGGCTGCAGTACAATTTCATTTCATAAACGGGGAGTACACTGACAACTAATGATATCAGCAAGTGATAAAATTTGAAAGATTTGTTTCTAAATGACCCAATTTATCATTTTGGTAGTCGTTCAAAATCCTAGTAGTGAAGGCTAGGTGCAGCCGCTCAAAAAGCTGTCAGTTCTTCTGAACGTTCTTTTTGTACACATAAACTGAAAGATTCATTGTGAATTTGCAAATGATTGAACCTTTCTCCTTCAGGTGACCGAGTGTGTAATGATGGAATTTAGGTTTATCCAGAATAAGATTACAGGCGTAGAAGCAGTACATAATACAAACCTCCAACTACAACATAGCTGACAGACAGAGGGTCGTGTTTACTTCCTGATCCACTCAAGTCTTTGACACAAATTCTCATGGCTGTCAGACCAACTTCCTGAAGGAGAAGCGAAATGTTAAAAGTTATTAAACGTCATGTAACCTTTTATAATAAATTATTTTCATACATTGTTAACAAGATAAAGACTTTTTAGGATACTGTGTTTACAGTTTTTACCCGCTAGTTTCCGAGAGAATAACGAGAAAAAACTGTCATTGATAGACATGCAATTCAATACAGAGTTATGTCCTACCTCGACCCAGGCCGTTATTATGTTGTATTCTGGTGGAATGTGTTTTTTCACTTTACGATCGTAATCATGATGAACAGACACAAGTACAGCTGGTGACGCATAAAAGGTGGTGTTGAACTGCACTTGCTGTGAAGAGATAAAAAAAGGCGTTTAAACCAGTCAAATTGCAATTTTCCTCTGCAGTAAGATTTAACACGCAAGAAATATCAGCAGATCGTCTTGAGGTAACTACTCTCGTAATTGAAATTTTGTTGAATTCCTTAATGTGTTTGTTGGATCACCGTTCAAATTTGCGATAGATGAGAATGCCAGACTTATCAGCTGCAGAGATAAAAAACCTCAATGAGATGACTGACACCTGCCAATCAAAAATACTCACTTGACAGAAACCATAGTTATCGTCAGCGGTTGGGTTTCCTGTGTTGGGGAAAAACGCTTCTCCTACCAACGTAAAATTAAACTCAGAACCATTCCCAAAGAAAGCAAACCAATCCTGTAAAGAAAAAAATAAATTATTTTAAGATGATTTTAAAAAAGACATTATAAATTCTAAAAAAGCAGCAAAGCTAATTGGTATTGACGAAACAAAAGTATATAAACGGAGAGAATTCAGGAAAACAAACAAATTGTAAAATGAAAATTTAAAGTGTAACTAAAGTATTCAGTTTTAAAAATAATTATCTTGAAAATATATTGTGTAGTATTTTAGCAGCAAGTACTCTTTAAATTGGAGTGGTCTAAAACATATTGCGATACCTAAGGCCAAGTTCAGACGCCGTACTTCACATGAGCCGAATCGAATGTAAATGAGAAAAATCCTTTGTTCTCCCTCATTAGCATTCGATTCGGTTCATGTGAAGTACGGCGTCTGAACTTGGCCTTAGTGCCCTGGAAGACAATGGTTGTAGCAAATACCCTAATGTTTATTCGTAATCACATTTTTGCACTAATGGACTCTTGAATTCTCAAAAATACATTAAAAATATTCCGCGTACCACAATTGTGTCTTGATGTTTTCCGTCAAATGGCAAGAATTCCCGGATGCAAACTTCGAAACTTCCAGAATTCACGTTTTCCAACCAAACATACATTGCGTCATAAGGCTTTGTACTACGAGCGTACTTAGCTGAGACAAACACAGAAGGTCTTCCACCAAAGCTCTGTAAATTACACAAACTTATGTTACAATTGATGCATTGAAGGAGTCGTCTTTGGCCAGTCATTGTGTCTTACGAACAGCTTAAGAACATGAAATTAAACATAAAATTTCGACGAAATTAAGCATAAATTTTGATGCATTGATAGTTCGCTAAAATAAGAATTTCAGTTCCACTTGTTTTATAAACTATGACGTCAGGTTAGGTTTTTGCGAAATACTTTTTGGGGTTCTGTAACTAAATTTCCTTTAAAATTTGCTTGTCAAAACGGAAAATTAAATTGGGATCAACTCTCATCTTAACAAGGATATACATTGTACGCTTTTCTCTCTGTTTGTTGAGTGTCTAACCTGTGAGAATGTAACTTTGTCACATTTGCTTTCTGTTGTCCATATTCCTTGAAAAGTCACACTGCCATGCATCATTTTTGGATGGTTTTGATAGGCCAGCCAGTTGATAATTCCAGTTTTATTTGATCCAGATCCTGTTTGACGAGAACAGACCTCAAATCCACGTGTACTAATGGACTGAACCCACACAGCAGAAGGCGAGTGAACACGTGAAAACTCTTCACCGTGGCTCATTGACACGTGCACTTGAACCTAACGAGCATAATATATAAATATATTAGTAACAGAAATTTTATTATTTACCGCTATTTGGTAAAATAAAGCACCTTAGCTTTAAAGCTGAAATTATGTGCCTGACGACAGCCAGCCTATACTGATTGTGGTTTTCATTCTAATTATTTTTCTTTTTTTTTCACTAAACTAAACATACACGTCAAGCAGCTTCAGTAATGCCTTAAAGCTTTTCATAAAACAGCATTAAACATTTCATGGGGTTCAGACATTCTACAAAGGCACACTTACCTTTCCAGATCCACTAAATGCTTGAGGAAAGGCAACGTTGGTACAAATAGCCAGTCGACAGTTTAGAGGGGGTGAACATCCACTGCTACAACTCCAATCTTGAAAAGTTTGCGACATGTTGAGCTTGCCAGTTTGAAGCAGAGAGATCCCTGAACAGACAAAAAGACGGACGTCTATTTACTAGGATTCGAACGAAGAAACGCACGTTAACCAAATCAAGATCTAACTGATTATGATACATCAAAAACATAAAAAAAAAAGATTGCTATATATTGGCCAAGATCTTTTGTGCGTAAAAAGATCGAGGCCAATAATATAAAGAGAAATGTTTACCGATTACGCTTGGTCAATTAAGGGATAACGCGGGCAATCCCGCGCAAATAGCGCCATCTTGCCCGCCCGGTATCCAATCAGCGTTGAGGATTTACTTCGTTTTGCTCGCTCGCGAAACTACATAGGCATGTAATTATGAAAGATGCACGCGAGTAATTTGTGACAATACAAGTGAGATATGCAATCCAAATCAGTCATTGCATGATTAACTAGACGCATGACTACGTGAACTCGGGCTTTTTTTCAACATCTTGCTATGTAAAAGTCGAACGCTACAGAAGTCGTCTTTAAGCAACGTGAAAATCTCAAAGTTATTTGACACCAGATTTGTTGACCCTGTATCAGGTGACGTCAGAAAACGTAAAGATAATGTTTGTGTAATATTGATTTGCCAGCAGTATCTCTTTATCACGTTGTATAGTTCATATGTAAATAATGTTTTTCTTAAAAAAAGATAAAAAAGACCTTTTGTATTTTTCTGCATGTTTGTCTAACAGCCTTTGTTTCTTAAATGCATCCATTGTTTTGTATTTTTGTGTCCGTTTCTTTTGCAGTTCTTTTTTATTTGTAGAATCTTTTGCTTGTTTTTTGTCCAATAATATTGTCTTCCTTGATGGTTCCATTCCTTTATAATTCTGTTTCTGCCTTTCATTTTTCATTATCCTTTTTCGTTCATTCTTGTCAACAGATTTGGTTGAACATGACACAAACTGTATTTGGTAATGCTCTGCTGAATGATATGTTTTTTGAACATTTCTAATAGCCTTAACAAGACAAGCAATACCATTTATGTTTTTAGTATATTGAATTGGAGTCATTTGACTTTCATCATAGACCAAGAGGGAATATACATATTTTGATTTTTGTATGGATTTTGAAATACAGCTAACGCAAAAAGATGCGAACCATATCAAAAACCCTGTGCATTCACTATTATTCTTTATAATATTTTGGAGAACAGATTTGCTTTGCACTGACTCAAACAATACTCCTTCAATAATATCACTTTTAAGGTCTAAAATTA